TGCCAGGGCTTGGGGTGGGGGAGAAAAAGGGGAGGGACTGCTGATGGATATGGAGATTTTTGTTGTGGTTTTTTGGTTTGGGAGTAATAAAAATGTTCTAGAATTAGATGATGGTGATGGTTACACATCTCTCAATATATTAAAAACCACTGATTGTATACTTTAATAGGGTATTTTGTGATACACATTATCTCTTGCTCTCTCTACCCACATACACATATATGCATGTATACATGCACACACTGACCTAATACTATGCAGAGATATAGAGAGAGTAGGTATCCTGTCATTCTGTCTCCTTACCTACAAAATAATATTGATCATTGCCTCACAGGGCTGTGGGATTTGAAAAAAAAAGTCATGTAAGACTCCAGGTATACGTAGTAGCTGAGTTAGCTCTCTACTCTGTTTTCTCTTTTCTAGTCTCAGACAGTATAACTTATTGGGTATAAGAACAGTGAGTAAGGCACAAAATGAGAAGCTGAGTCAGAAAATGTCCTAATGCAAGAGTCTGTGCTCGGTTCTCTTCCTTTGTGGCAGTTAAATTTTCATTCTCTTGCCTGGTCACTGGTTGCTCCTGCACAGAACGGTGCCTTTGATCACAGAGTATGACTTGATTGATGTAAAATCTCCCCAGTACTGGAAAGTGACCCCAAGTTTAAATTCAACAAATGGTTTATGATGCAGTTATTTGCAAAGAATATCTTCTTGCTAATATTTTGTCCCTTCCATCATTAACAGATTGGGAATCAGCCCAGGCAGGCATAGTGCATTAACATGATAAATGATTTAAGGAATCATTTATGTACCCCCCAAAAGCTACCCAGTTTCTTTTCCATTAACAACAGAGGAAATGTGTTGTTAGGGTAACAGAAGACTGTTCACAAGCAGCAAAGATTTGGTATTTATGGAGAAATCACTCCATTTCCTGTCAGCACAAATGCAAGGGCTTCCTTATCCGGAAATGACAGTTTGAAAAGAATTTGTATTTATCTTGAGTTAAAAAGATGTTTTGTTTTTCAGTTTTATTTAACTTCAGAAAGTTGGCTCAAGTGAACTTTTTTTCCTTCCTTGTTTGTTTCTTTGATTTGAAATACACGATTTAATTTTACTGTTTGATTTTGCTCCAGGTTTAGAAAAATGTGTTAGCTTCTGCTCCAAATCAATAGTCAGACTTAAATACTCTTATTCAAATTTTTATATTCTTATATTTTAGACTTATTCTTATACAAATATTTTCCTTTACAGCCTAACATTATTGTGATTTAATTGTGAGGTAAAATGAATTTTGAGGCTGCACTAGGTTCCACTCTCTTTTGAAAGAGCATCCTCATTAATTTACTTGGATCTTCCCAGCTGGCCTGTGGTGGCTGGAGAGACAGAGAGAAGGGGCTGTCTACCTGCCCAGCCCCTGCCTGCCTCCTGGAGTCTGGGGTGGGCCCCTGTCAGGCATTCTAGCTACCTCTTTGGCCTCCAGCAATCCCCATGAGCTTCCAAATCCATGAAAACTCCTAGGAAAGGTGGCTTCTCAAGCTACCTCCACTCCGTCTCACTCTTGTACTTCGTCTACCTCATTTCTTTCCATGAATGTTTAACTTGGGAAAATGTGTTGAAAAATGGCACCATCCAGAGATCACCAGGATAGTTTGTATTTTGAGCACAGTTGCCTTGGGCTCAGGATCTAATGACAGATATTCAAGATGAAACGGGAGCATTTGGTCCCTTGGACCTGGGTGGTGACGCTGGCGTCATACCTCTCATATTGGAGACGAGTTCCCTTCTCCCTTGTTTTACACTTGAATGTGCTCGCTTCCTGGACCTCCTGCTGTCCCACCTTGTGGTAAATGTGCCAGTCCCAGTAGATGGACCTGCTTGTGGTTTGCCAGCTACTCAGAAGGAGTGAAGTTAGAGCTGGGCCCATCCAGGCCAGCCAGGAGTGAACTGGTACGGTGATTCTTCTGCGAAAAGGGAAACTCTCCAGTGCCCTTACGAACTGTTTATAAGCTATTTTAATGGCTTTATAGCAAAATGCGAAGCTGTTGGCATTTTGGGAACACAGAATCTAGAATATTGGAATCTTAATGTGGCTTAGCGATGAGGTCGAAGAGAAAAATGTGAGTAGAGAGGACAGATCAAATCAGACACATCAGAGGTGATGCCTACAGCCACACTTGGAGCTCAGTAGTCCTCAGCAAGATGCTTAGACTTTGAACCTCATCATCCTCTGCTGTAAAGTGGGGACAATAAGGCGTACCTCGCAGGCTTAAAACAGGTTAAAAAAATGAATCACCTGAGATAGTATCCGACATAGCAGGTCTCAAGAAAAAAATGTGTTTTTTTCATTTCTTTCATTTATAAAGGAAGAAACATGTTTTGCAAAAGTCCTGTTTGAATGTACTTAAAATTTCCTGTGTGAAGGAAGGAGGTAGGCTCACCTGTATTTCCTCTCTGATGTGATTAAGTAGAGATGTGTTGATGAATACTTTTCCCATTATGAATTTTGCCATTGCTTTTAACCAAAAATATTAAAGAGTTACGTAACCTAACTTTCTCACCAATCCACTAAATACCTGTTCCTTTTACTCACCTGTGAAATAATGCCCACATGCCTACTTCCTATCTGTTAATGTTTCTCTTATTGTACTCACTGTATTCATCTGTTTAAGTATGAAATTGAACAGGTTACTGGTGGTCTCAAATCATTCTGTATAATGCCAGGCACAATGCCCTGATGAGGCCTTTACTGATACTCAGGATAAAGTGAAGAGATCTCTTGGCTCCTGCTCTTTCAGCTCCTTGAACCTCCCTGAGTTGCTTTGGAACAAGTTTTAGTCCACCCTTTATCTTCTGTCTCTTTCACCAAACGTACATCTGTTCACATGCACAGAGACCCGTCCACTGGACAGGTTGCTCACTAAGGGCTGCCCAAGGTGGTAGATTACTTGAACCTCTTGACTCCACAAAGTCATGATTTCTGTCCCTTTTCATCTGGAAACTCACACATTTTGAAATTTGCCTGGTGTATTTGAGGGAGCCTTAGAGTTGGTTAAATAAATGAGACCCAGATGAGTAACTGATAATCCAAATATAGACAAGTAGGGAAAGGTTAAAGATTGTTGGGAAGTGAGCTCAGTTCTAATGGTTGAGTTACTTCTAACCAGGTGGCTGAGAGCCACATTGTTTCCCTGTTTTCTTTGTAAGCTGGGATTCCTTTACTTCTTTGACAAACGTTTGGGCGCCTGCTAATGTCCCAAAAGGGAGGTGCTGGGATTATAGAGGTTATAAGTACCATCCCTGACCTCCAGAGTCTTAGAATTCAAGACTGGGGTTCTAAAAACCACTGTGCATAAGAACTACCTGGCTATCTTGTGTAAAGCATGGGTTTTCAGTACAGCATGGTACGGACTTTGAGCACAGCCCTCTTTGTTAACAGTAGCACATTGTGCACTTATAAATTGCATGGGGGTAAATCTCGTGTTTGATGTTTTTACACAACAAAAAATAGTTACTTGTGGTTTTAAAATAATATATGGGTACCCAGACTTCACCCCAAAGATTCTGATTCAGGGGGTCCAGGATGAGCCTGGGAATCTATGCTAACATGCCATCCTGCTCTGGGTAATTTTGGGGCAGAGAGGCCACAGATGCCAGTATGAGAATCTGGCCCTGTATTACATTGTAAAGGCACATTAGTAGAGAGACTTGTGACCCCTCAAAAGAAAAGCACACTACATATTTAGTTTACACTCCTATAATTATTATAATTTATAATCAGTAGCTGCTTCTTCATTTTTAGAAGCATTGTTTTGTTGTTAAAACCCTTACATTTCTTCAACAATGTTCAGGATTGCTTCCAAAACAGCTCACAGAGATTCCACCCATACTTAAAAGGTCTTTGATCAGCTGATCTTTATGTCCAAATAATCTCCATGAAAATTTTCCTAAGTCGTCTTAGTCTTGTTGAAAATGACCATAGTTGTTACAGAATCTTCCCCGTAAACCTAAGAAAGGGCACCTAAAAAAAGCTGTGTTATGCGAATAAAGGTTCTGGCTCCTCCTCTCTGTTCACACAAGGAGCTTGTCGTCCCACTGACTGTCACCAGTTCATCTGAGACGTCTGTGGGTTGGTTTAGTTGAAAACAAATTAATAAAATGTCTGTAACATAGTAGGTATCCACTTTTTTGCTGCCATGAAAGCAAACAATGCAAAATATATATGAATCAAGGAAACTTGACAAGCAAGTCTTTTTCTTAAAATCCAAATTCCCCCAAAATACTCCAGGAAAATGAGAAAGATCAAAGTAATAAGTGGAATAAATGGAAATCGACAGACTGAGTTTTACTAAACTTCTACATGTGCCCCAAAAGAATGACTTGTGAGAGAGGGTTGCTGGCTGTTTGAAAGCTGTGATCAGCTAGCTGTACACTCTCAATTACCTCAAATCCAAGAAAGAAACTTTAAAAAGCATAAGAATATGGTTTCAACGCAAGCCTCTGCCTCAGGAACAATTACTGTCAGATTTACGATGCACATAATTGCCAGTGGATGTGAAGAAATGGTACTTTCCTCACCTGCATTTGCAAAAAGAATATCTACCCCCCCTCCTCTTTTAGAGACATGGTCTGGCCCGGTGTGGTTGCAGAGTGTGTTTAGTAAGTGGAGTGAGGAGAGGAGGCGTTGGAGAGAGTGCCTGCAGCTCAGGCTCACTGTTCTGTTTCCGGTGTGTGTCTCAGGAGAGATGCACACTGCTGCCTTAGGCTAGCTTCCCAGAGAACCCGGGTATGTAACCAGGGCAAGCAGGAGCCTCGGTCTGCAGAGCTTCTTCGAGGAGGAGTCCTGAGCCAAGCACAACTAAGGGACAGGATTGGAAGCAAAGGAGCCCTGGCATAAGGTAAAGCAGGCTTTGCAGAGGTGCCCTGTGGCTTGCAAGGCAGATGTGAAATCTCTGGCTTCCTGGGTGGTCAGAGGCCCCTAGCGTCCTCTAGATGTGGCAGCTGGGTGCTGGTGACAGACTACTTGTGTTGCCCTGAGATTCATTTACTAAAACTTCTGTTTTTCTGAGAAGGGTAGAGTATTTCCTTTTAAACCAGGTCTATGATTTTCAGATTATTTCTCCAAAGGCTGAAAAGAAAGTGGTTTTCATATGTTTAGCTGGTTTTGTTTTGCCTGTAGTCTGTAGAGCACTGTGGAATTTACATTTTTGCAGTTCTTGGGATGGACCCCAGGGTCTTTGTACCAAGCTACATCCCCAAGCCCTTTTTGTCTTTCATTTTGAATCAGGTTCTACTAAGTCACTGAGCTGCCCAGGCTGGGTTTAAACTTGTAGTCCTCCACCTCAGCCCCGAAGAGTGCTGGGATTACAGGCGTGTGACACCGTGCTTGGTTTGAAATTGACTTTTAAGATGAAAAGATTTTGAAGTCATTTTGGGAGATTTGGTAGTACAAGTGGTATGAGACAATGAATAGATTTATCTGTTACTGTAAATGTATGAGGGTTTTTTCTTCTTTAAAAAGTTCCCTAATGAAAACAAGGCTGCAAACTGCTTATAATTCACATTTTAATACAGCTACAATCTGAAAGAGATTGACTGTGTATGACCTTTTACCACCTGTGGGTTTGTGATGAATGAAAGAAATCTGGACATTCTGACCTTTATAGTGAAAAAAGTTTTCTAAAAATCTGGTGATCAAACCATGTTCTAAAGTTGTTTGGTTTTTTTTGTTTTTTTTTTTCGGAAAAAAAAATGTTTTAAAGTGAACTATACTGCCAGTAAAGAAGAAATGAGACAAGAAAATTATCCCAACTGTGAAAGAAATAGATTTAAGATTTGGGGAAGGAAAAAAAAGTGAGTTTGCCCAAGCCCAGCAGGAGTGTGGTCCTATAGCAGCTTCATCTATCTTTTAACTGAGATTGGAGATTAAAAAAAAAAAAAAATGTGAGCCTGCTTTCTCTGAAGGTCGCAGAGGAATGTTAAGAGGATGTGAAGTCATGTAGATGATCCAAACAGGTTCTGACAAGTAAGTAAAAAATAACTAATTAAAATCTAATTGTTGCCATTCTATACTGGCTCAAAAGGCTTATTGAGTTGTCATGTGCTTATAGAGTAGGTGAGTTTGCCATGGCTCATTGGTATAAATTACTTTTTGAGAAGGCTTTTTAGGACTGTGTGGCCTCGAAAATCTCTTGGTAGCACTTTGAATGAAAGTTGTGGTCAAATGTTTTTGAATGTATTGCTCAGGGATTTCCTGACTCAATGAGCTTGCACCCGGGGTGTCTCAACCAGGAGCAGGGAGTATCACATCAGTAAACCCTGGCTCACCCAACAGGATAAAGCAGTCAGAGCTCCTCAGTTCGTGCTCCCTGACTCTAGAGAGATGCAAGTCCTGTTAAGGGTTTTGCCTCCTGCAGGGTTTCTGGCCCTCATTCCTGGTGACATCTCAGATGTAGTCATTCTTTCTTGTGGGGGACCATCCTGAAGAATGTTTATCAGCGTCCTTGATTGTTGGCTGCGCTCTAGATAACAGAAGCACTCTCTCCCCAGCTGCAAAACTAAAAATATCTCCAGCCCTGCCTGATGTTCCCTGCAGGGCAGAATGCCTCTGGTTAAAGAGAGAACCCACTTTGGAGGCAGTCTGCTGAAGGGCAGGAGGGGAAGGACAGGAGAGGCACTGGACCCCAGATGAGCTGTACAGCAATTTAAGGAGACTAACAGGAAAAATATTTTGGCCTTACCACTTTGTTTTTATTTTGTTTCTCTCACAGTGCTGTGGTTGTATAGCAGACAAGCTTCTCATCTAGACTAAGTGCATCTGGGTATATACTATTTAAGCAAGAAAAGAAACCCATATAGTGACCCATTTTACAAAGCTGATGATGATTCTTAGCTTATTCATTCTGCAAATACAGGCTTTTTTATTAGGTGGGTGTGGGATGAACTTGGACACACCTATTTGATTTTTTTTCCCCCTGGTATTTGCTGATAAATGTTTTCATTTCTTTTTTATTTTCCCCTGCTTGTTTTCCCCACCTCTTTCCTAATGGGTCTCAAACTCTTCAGATCTTATAGGAAATGGACTTTGTTCTTGTCAATGAAATAGACTATTCATTGCCTTTCACCAGTACACGGAGGACAGTGAAGTCAATGGCTGGGATTTTTTTTTCCATTTAAAAATTTTCTTCTACCTTTAGCATATGTTACTGTGTACTTACTCTCAAAAGTTTACAAATTACAAAATTAAGGAAGTTATAGAAAGCAATCAATACTGATCCAAAACATCTAAAACAGGCCATCTTGCATAGTTCTATTTTACTTTTTTTTTTGATGGTCCCATGTTCCACTAATACTATAAATTTCATATTTATACAGTTGTGGTCTCATAAAAGAGTTGTCTTATAAAGAAAAGAAGTTGTGTATGTCATGCTTTCGTGGTGTCTGTCCAAGAACATAATGCATTGCTGTGCTTTTGATCACAAAGTAGATCTTGTGTTTACTTCCAAATGGAGGTACAATGTGTCAAACACCATGCGTCCTCTTAGAGACATTTCTTCATTATTAAACTGTACTCCCTCATTCACTAGATCTCAGGTGCATAAGTGCAGAGAATGTTAGTATTTTCAATCTTTTTGTCCCCAGGATGTTGCATAGTGCTTGCACATACTGTTTGCTCAGTAGTTGATGAATAAACAAACAAATGAATGGCAGTGATTGTCATGGAAAGACCACCAGGATCCTGTTGTGCAAGAAGCTCACTTGTTTGGGTCAGGGCAGAAAGGTGTGAGTGACATCTTTTCTCATTGTCACGGCCAGTACTTCTGGAACGAAAGGTGGGTAAAAGAATACCCTCATAAAAGTATTTAATCAAAAGATACAGAGGCCCTCAAACTGAAGGCCCAAAGACCCAGAAAAAAATTTCAATCTTTACGCCTTGGTTTGATAAGAAGGGACAGTCGTACAGAAGTGTGATTGGACAAAGAAATGTGATGGACTGATGAGCTAATGGTAGGAGACAGGGGGCTCCCAGCATAGCCTGTGTATTCAGATTCCTCTTGGGCTTTTTGTGTAGCATTCCTTCCTCCTGTGCATAGGATAAGAACCCTCTGGAACCTACTATCAGACAGAATAGGTCAGAGAACTTCTTTATGGCCAGCTCTTACACAAAAGAACAAAGGAAGATGAGAGTAGTATTTCTCAGTTTCATGGCTTGCTTAGGGGAAGAGAAGTACTAGTTTCTATCACTAGTACTTTGGGAGAGTGGGAGGGCAGGAGACTTCAGTCAGAGAGACTTCAGTTCTGAGGCCTCCCAGGATCCTTTAGTTTAAAGTATTCGGGATGCCCAAAGTGTCATGCCATGTGGTACTGTTTTCTGAACCCCATTATCTATAACCCGTGTCCTGTGCACGTTGTCTGTCCTGTATTTTTTTCTCAAGAGGACAAACCAGTTCCCATCCAGGCATGTTTTAATATTTAAGAGGCTGCCAGTAAATTTTTAAGGATGCAGGAAATGTGCGCCTGTGGGTGATAGAATCTGGGAGAGAGGAAAGCTCTATACATCTTTCTTCATTGAATTTCTGCTGTTCTTTAAAGCCCCGCAGGGTAACACTTTCTCTCGAGATAAATAAATAGTAAGATAAATAGTGCACTGACCATAGAACCTGACCCAGTGGTGAAGTGTTCACAGCCTCCTTGTTTTTAAGAAAATTACTCAGCCAAAAGAAAGAGCTTGTGATCAGCAGTGAACAGACCTCTTGTGTAGCCTGGCTGTGTGTCCTGCAGAGCCTCAGGGGTGAGAAGTTTTATGCGAGGCGTCAGAGTGGCACTGTACCGACGGCCCCATGTTTCCTGCATCAGGAGTTAGGACTTGGAGCTTGCAGTTGGGACAGAGACTCGAACTCAGAAGTTCCACGTGGGATGTAAAAAATACTGTAGTGAGAGGTAAGGAAGCTGGAGACCATCTCAGTCTCCTACCTCAGTTTACAAACAGAGCTCAGGTCATTACTGAACCAGACCTATTTCCCTGGCTGCATGGCATGCGGATCACAGACACACCCAAGTTTTGCAAAAGAGAAAGTTTATTCACAAGGCAGCCTAGCACAGAAAGACTAAGGCTGAGAGCTGTCTCCCCGAGGACGGGGTTAGGGGAGACTTAGGCGATAAAGAAGCAGAGTGATTTGAAGTGTGGGGAAATGTGATTGGAAGCAATCAGTGGTCTGTGGTGTGTAGTCAAACTGCGGGGCTCTTTGTAGGACACTGTTCAGAGGATGGCAGGTATTATCCTGATCTGAGAGCAGTTGTTGGTCTCCTGACATCAAAATGTCACCATCAGATGCCTGTGCAGCCCCAAAGGAGGAGTTGGTGGTTTCGACAGAAATAGTCTTTAGGTCGCTAGGAGGTAACCTTCGTAAACTGTCATCATCATAACCCGTAGGTCACAACCACCTACAGCAGGGCTAGTGGGAGACCAGTAATACATTTCCAAAATCAGTGATTTTAATTTTACAGTCAGCTAAAAAGCAAGTGAAGCTGGCAGCATGTTCAGGGTTTCCCTGGGTTTCCCATCTTCCCTGGGCCTGAGCGGCAGAGGCTTTGGGTGTAGCCCTGGGAGAGGGACCTCTAATGACAGGATGCAAACCCTGCCTCTGATTGTTCACCCAGCCTGGAATGTTTTTAGCAAATACGCGTTCCGGTCCTCCTCAGCACTGCTAGTTCATATTGAGGCCATTTTTTTGCTCATAAACGTTAGATGAAGCAGAAAGATGGCTTATGCTTAAAACTCCTTTTATCTCTCCATACTCCTAAATAATAGTTTTCTTAGGCTGTTTTGGTTCTGTGCAGCTGGCTCCTTGCATCCATGCTTACATCCGTATACCTTGTCCAAATAAACATACTTGAAAAGTAGAGAAATGTGTTTTGCAAAGCTTAGAACATCCTCTAACAGAGTCAGAGCCAGCTTTCTGCCTTGTTTTGGCAGCTTGTTGAGGATGCCAAATGTATCTGGTCTGGCAACAGATTAAAGATATTGGTTCTTACATAACAAAGTTTAGGGCACAAAGGGGACAGAGGTGTAGATTTCCAGGTTTCCTTGGTGTTTTGCAAAGAGTTTTAAAGCGTAAGAGGAAAAATGTGCTTGACTAGGTTTTTGTTTTGCCTTTAAACCTCAGAATTGTAAGAACCTATCAAAATCCTATATCGTGGCTCCTACAGCCCTCTGTGCTTGGATTCCTCTTCACTTACTTGTCTCCCTTTTGTTCATTCCTGCCCTGTTGGCTTTTTTCCTGTCCCTCAGGTGCGTGTTCTTTCCATTTTAAGCCTTTGTAGTTGCTGTTCCTCTGCCTGAACATTCTTCCCCCAGATCTCTGCGTGCTCCTCATTCCTCCCGACCTGATCATCTACCTGACGCTGCTTCCACCTGCCCAACCCCCAGGTCATCTCTGTCCCTGGCTCTCTCCTGCTTTCTTCCTGTTTTCCCCCACTGTCTGTAATTCGTGTGTTCACATACATGCCTGTTGTCTGTCCTTGTTGAAGAAGGTAAGCTTGTGACAGGCATTTCCCTGGTGCCAACAATTAAACTGCATGGATGGATAGGTGACTTGGGAGGGAGGCGGGAGGCGGGAGGAATGGACTGATGTCCCAGCAAACTCTTACCTTCCTTTAAATTCCACCAGGTCCCTCTCCTCAGTGATGTCTCCCTGACCCCCCAAGATAGTCTTTGGATACTCTTCTGCCTCCACCCACTGCCTTTGTACATTACACGGTCGTTTAATCCCAGTGTAGTCACTGGTTCACAGACCTGCATGGGAAGTCCCTGAGGACAGGAATATGTTAGAAAGGGTAGTGATGGCGATAGGCATTGTTTCACTCTTATTACCATAGTACTTTATAGACATGTGTCATTAGAGTCCTCGTACCAATTCTGTGTTCCAAGTGTTGCTCTCATCTTTGTTTTGCAGATAAATAAACAGGCCCAGAGCAGCTTCTCTGAAAGCAGACAGATGATTCTGGCAGGACTAGGGTTTGAATCCAGCTTGTCTGCTTCAAAGCCCACACTCAGTAGTCTTTCTGTCCTCCTCTTCGGGGGCCTGGTGCCCGACCCACAGGTCTCCTACAGACTTTTCCCAAGTAAATGAAACTGCAGACTTTGCAGCCCTTCTCTTAGTATTTGAGCTTATACTATTTGTAATACAGTAGTACAATGTAAACGTTATGAATAAACATTATATAAAAGAAGAACTTCTGAGCTTGTAATCCAGTGACATCTCTAAGGACAACAAGCTAGCCTTTTATTTCTGTGTCCTTGTGTTTTTAATATAACCCAGTGTTACTCATGGCCTGCTCTCCTGGATACCAGTCCTTGTGATTTGTTTGAACCTATTGTGGTCCATTACTGAGTTACACAGTCAAGATTAGCAACTGTTGCCAACATATGAATGTAATGCTCTAAACTGGCTTGGAGCTCTGGCTCCATGGATCCAATTTGCAGATAATTGAAATGTGTATCATCATGTAGCGTTGAAGAGGGTGTTGTTTACTGTGGGTGTACCCAGGGGTTTGTGTCTGGGGGGGGTGTCCTCTGTGATGAGCCAGCTCACAGTTTACACTGCTTGACAGTACAAGTCCCTCATTGTCTAACAGCTCGGATTTTCCAGCACACAAGTCCTGATGGGAATTCTAACAAGACAGAAGCAGCCACCTTGTCAGGCTGGTCCGTCTAAGCTTTCCTTGGCACCTAATCAAGTTTCACCCAAGTTTGGGGCTAACCTAGCTGGTTCCTTTTGTCCTGGATTCGAGGTGTGATAAGCAGGAAGGTGGGGCTCATGTGCTGTTATTTGTAGATGTCAAAAAAAAAGTGCTCAAAATGCCTCCAGCACTGGGACGTGACCAGGGAGGAGTGCTCAGTCCAGGCGTGCATGGAGGATCTGCCGGTGAATGCTGACGTGTCATCCAGCTTCTCTATCCATCACAAATAACACAAACCACTTAACCCTTTAACCATCCCTCAGTGAGATACTTGTTAGTGAGTACATTCAACACAGCCAGTGATGCCATTTGAGAAGTTGTATCAAAAAGCCAAAAATGGGACTTTCTTTGTCTTGGATGTACTCACTGATAAATATGCATTGTGGTTTGCAATTTAGCTGACAGTGTGAAGAGAATATTAGAAAGCACTCTCTGATTAACTTGTTGTTCACTCATACTGCCCCATTCAGAGGCCTTGCTTAATCCACACTCACTAAATAGGCTGTGATTTAGGTGTTCCCTGACCTGGCCTTGTACCAACCCAGATCTCTTCTTTACATCCTTTCCTGTGTTCAAGGTGATTCCTGCTCAAGACTTCCAGAAATATCCATAGATTCTCAAGGATTCTCTGTAGTCTGACCCTCTGAGAGTCAAGGACGCTGAGACCCAGAAATCACAGTTGGTTTTCCAAGACCAGTCCATTGGTCAGTGAGCCAAAAGTAGACCTCAGAGCAGTCCAGAGCTGCTCTCTCCCCTTCCTGCCTCCTCAAGCAGCTCCTTTAACTGTATGTCAGCCTGTTGTACAAAGACACACAGCTCTCTCCAAAAGCCTTTTGGGGGCCGGGGATTTAGCTCAGCGGTTTCGCTGCCTGCTGTGCAAGCTCAAGGACCCGAGTTCGATTCCCAGTACCAATATATGTTTCACACTCTTTATTTTCAAGCACCTTCCCTTTCTTAGGCCATTAGATCTTTTCCTCTCTCATCCTGAAAATGCTAGCATTTCCACTTGGTCAGTGACTGTTCAGGGATCTGCTGCTACTGTGTAAGAAGACAGCTTCAAAAAGTTGAGGTTTTCTTTTAAATAACATAATTGTAAATAAATGAATAAGCCAATAAGTGCGTGGTATAGAATCACATAAGGCAGGGAAGAAAGCTCTCTCTGTAAAGGGCCGCATACTAAAGATTTTCAGCTCTGCAGGCGATGTTGTCAACTGTCAGCTACTGCAGGGCTGAAGCTGCCACAGACACCATAGAAATGAACAGACATGGCTGTGTGCTGACAAAAATGGCCAGCCAGCCACATTTGGTCCATGGGCTGCAATTGGCCATCTCCGGTATTAGGTGAAAAGTAAACCTCCTCCTTTCTCTCCCTGATCCTATTCCCAGAGGTGGCTTCTACCATCAGAGAAGTAGTGTTTGCAAATACGAAGTTTGGTCAGATACATTCTGTCATGTAGGATGTGTGGTTCTTTATTTTGCATTTCTCCTGCTTCCTGGGCAGATACCTGATGGAAGGAATCTCTTCTGTTTTGCATAAATAGGAGCAGATTGTGCAGGTTGTTCTGCAGTTTTCTTCCTTTAGCAGTGACTCAGGATTGGTTCTTATAGATAATAACATTCTTCTTAATTGCCACACAGTGGGATCACTCTGTACCTCACACCAAGAAACAGTGCCAAATACAAAAGGACAGATCACTGCATACGCTGCCCTTTAGGTCTGTGTTGTCAGTGATGCCTTGCATTGCCATATTCTGGGGTTGTCATGACAAATTACCAGGAACTTGGTAGCTTCAAACGGCAGAAATGTATTCTCTCATAGGCGTGGGGACTGGAAGTTTGAAATCAAGGTGCTGTCAGGTTGGTTCCTCCCACAGGCTCTGAGGGGAATCTGCCCTGTGCTTCCTCCCAGCTTGCAGCAGTGGCCAGAGGGCCTTGGAGTCACTAGGCTTGAGGACATCACTGAGATCTCTTCCTCCATCTCCACACAGGCCCAGCTGCGTCTCTGACTCTGCTTTCCCTTCTCTCTTGAGGATTTGCAGCTGTGTTCAGGATCCACCTTGCTTACTTCTGCTAAGGAGTGTGTGCATGCCTTTGGGGGACACTGTTCAGCTCGCCCCATGCCCTTTGTCTAAAAGTCAGAGCACTCTTTGCCTCTCAAATTTTCCCTGCCCTAACGAGAAAAAGGGCAAAGCCTTATTCTTGTCCTGGTAAGCAGCCCTGCTCTTTGAGGAAAAAACCAACAGCCTAGGAATGACATCTGGTCTTGGTTATTTACCAGTCTGAGGTCAATCACAGAAAAGCACCAGCCAGAACGGCAAGGCTTCTAGGAATTTTTTTCCTGAGTTCTGCAAAATGCAGTGCTAGTGAGAAGAGTCTTTGCATGTCTGATATTTGAATTGAAGAGAAAACCACGGGAAGGGAAATCTTTCATATGTAATCCTTGGGAGTTTCCAGCTAGTTGTGTGGTGGCCCTTCCTGGAGTTAACCTGTGTCAGTTGTTGAGTGTCAGAGTTTCCAAGTTTGCCTGAATCCACGTAGGGTCAGGGTAACCACTGCTTTTATTTGTATAATTTCTCAGGAGAAAGTTGTTTAATGCAAAAATAAAGGATTGTGGCTGGGCATGTGACCTGTTGCTAATTGTTTGAGGACACAGCTCTTATTTGTTTTGAACAAGGAATCTGGATGAAAGATGTTTGTAATTTTTGAAACCGAAGAGTGAGATCTGCTCACTTCAAGTTCTTACAGTGTCGTTGGTCATAAGTGACAGACACCTCACACCAGGTGTATGAGTTTCTTAGGGCTGACAGGATTTATTTTCCAACAATCCCGGAGGCCAGAAGTCTGAAATCAAGACATTGGCAGGGCCACAGTCTCTCCAAGACTCCTGGAGGAGGAGCCATTCTCTCCTCCCCCAGTTTCTGGTGGCCCTAGGTGCTCCTTGGCCTGTGGCAACGTAACTGCAACCACAGCCTTCTCTTTGGGCGGGGCTCTCTCCTTGTCTGTCTCCCTCCCTCTCAGATTCTTCTAAGGACACCAGTCATGTTGGATTAGTGGCCCAACCCACTCCAGGGTGAGCTCACCCTAACTAATTACTACATCTGCAACGACTGCTTCCAAATAAGGTCATACTTGAGGGATTGGGGTTAGGACTTCAGCATACCTTTTGGGGGCACATAGCCCATAGCCTCAGCTGAAGCATAAAGTAGCTCACATGACCAAGCTGCTGGAGGGGACAGGACCTCAGATGTCATTAGTGTGTTCTCAGATCTGCTGGCTTATCTTCCTATATCATTCACACTCACAGAGTTCCTGTGGGTCAGAAAGGCAAGACTGCAGCAGCTCAGGGCTCCTGTCCCACAGTGAAAAGGATTCTTTTACTCCCAGCTCATGTCAGGAGGTCCTGGAAAGAGTCCCTTGAAATATCATCTATGGCTAGGGACAGGGCATGGGTGATGGGAGGGAATGGCAGCTTGTGGTTCTGGAGTTAGGAGAAGGTGGAACTCCTCCATAAAAACAGGGCATCCTTAGCCAGAGTATAGTGGCACACACTTGTAATCCCAGCTACTAGGGAAGCTGAGGCAGGAGGATCACAAGTTCAAGGCCAGCCTGGGCAACTTAGCAAGAGCCTGTCTCAAAATGGGCTGGAAATGTAGCTCAGTGCTGCTTGGGTTCAATCCCCAGTAGCACCAAAAAATGAATGAAGGAAAGAATCTTTGACCTGACCAGTGAGGAAATAGTGAGCTTAGAGTAGCCAGAACATACTTGCCTATTTGAATGGAGCATTGCGGTTGCATGTTACTTTGCCCTTGCCTTGACTCTCTTTCATGTGATTTTTAAGTCCAGGCTCCTCCCTTCCCATCCCCTGCTACATTAACCTGGACTGAACCACTTTCAAGTTCTGGGCGATGCCCTCAGAAGTTTGATCATATTTCTCATTCCTCTAAAAGGCCAGTGTGTTTGCCTTCAGGGAGAAGCTCATGGTGATCAGCAATTTAATCTTTAACTGCTAAGGATCCCACGATGGGTTGATCTCACTGAGAGGCATTTTTTGTCTATTTTCATTTTCAAATTGAAGCTTCTAAACTTCTAGACGGGAACACAGTAGTGTGGCAACATTCTTAAATGTTGGTAGGTGCCTGTGGAAGCCTGTTGCTTGTCCTTCAAATGCCTTTTTATATGTGTTTTCACATACTTTGAGAAAAGGCGCTGTGTGACTTCAACTCTAAAGATTAATTCAGGGGAGTGACTGCAAAGATTATCAAAACAGCTCAATTCAAAATACTTATTTCATTTCTTAATTATATTTACCTCTAGCTGATTCCGGAAATTTTTTTTATTCTTACACTCTATTGTGCACAGCATAGGGAAAGATACCCAAGATAGCTAATTTACAGATGATCCGAAAATACACAGCACAGGCCATGTGTTGCTGGCTATAGTCACTTGGGTGATGGCACCGTGTGAGAACTTTTCAGGCCTGCAGTGATGTTTTCATGAGTGTCTCTGTCTTGGAAATTGTCTGTCTGTCTGTCTCTTTCTCCCTGTCTCTCTCTCTCACTCTCTCTCTCTCTCTGTCTCTGTCTCTGTCTGACAAGGGACATATTTCTTGGTTCATCACTTGTCATGAAAAAATAGATTATTAATGTCTGCCAGCTCTAAGCTAGAGAGGGAATACCAAAAACTCATTTAGCAATTCTTTTATTCCTGGTTAATGAGGGATAGCCTTTGCTTTACCAGCCACAAGAATTAATG